ATTTCAGTTGGAACCCTGCTAATTTTAACCGTCGGTTAATCTAACTGAGCTTGGTGAAATTGGCCCTTACTGATCACTAATACAACTAAACATAACACTATATATGTACGAATATTCAAGATGGCGACGAATTGGTCCAAGTCATTCCATTTGGCAAACCTGGCCACATACGAAACATTTTTCGAGCTCCGTAAAGTTAGCCGGACTACTTTAACTTTTTAATAATTAAAATTATGTAATCGTTTGGTGGTTATTTGGTGATGATTGGTAGCCTAATTAAAACGTTTGGTGGTCAATCGTTTTTTTTAAATTAAATAATTAAAATATTGGTGTAAAGTTAGCCGGACATTTTTAATTTTTAGTCTAATCGATTAAATCAGGGCTTATTCGATGCAGAATCGTTAGGTGGTCACAAATCCTTTATTTACAACGTTTGGTGGTCCATAATTTATCCAAAAAGTAAAAAAAACCATGTGCGGTTAGGTAGTGGGGATGGCTAACTGGAAGCTGTAAAGTTAGCCGACAAATATATTATTTACCAACCAATTTTGTTCAAATTGGTCTTAATTGAAAGACAATCGTTTGGTGGTGATTGGTAGTCTAATTACAACGTTTGGTAGTTAATTATTAGGCTACTACAATTATAAAACCATGTGCGCCGATCCTGCGCCTGCGCGTGCCTTCGTCGTGTAATGGCTCTCGCAGCCAGCGCGTTGACGCGACGCGCGATATCCAATGAGAGCTCTGATTTTTGGAAAAAATAAAGCTCTCATTGAATATCTTGAATCTGCAAGAGCCATAATACTAATATTACATTCAGACAAAATGTTTGTGGATTGGCAATCAGATGGAGAATTCGGAGAATCTCGATAGAGACTCTAGAAATTTTCTATTCGATAATCAATCGTTACGTTCGACAAACATTTTGTTGTGTAAATGTAATATCATTAAATTTGTCGTGCGACAAACTTTTTAAGCATACTGATTGTTTGCAAAATAGAAAATTTCTTGAATTTCTAGAAATAATTTCTAGAAATTAGCTAATCAATGCGCTTAAAAAGTTTATCGTACGACGAATGTAATATTACTATAAAGCTATTGGCGTAGCGATTGGCTATCGAGTAAAGAATTTCTAGAGTCTCTGTATATGATAATAGTCAGCTTTATTTTTTCCGAAAAGCAGAGCTCTCATTGGATATCGCGCGTCGCATCATCGCGCTGGTTGCGAGAGAGAGCCATTACACGACGAAGGCAGACTCAGGATCAGCGCACATGGTTTTATAATCGTAGTAGCCTAATAATTAACTACCAAACGTTGTAATTAGACTACCAATCCCCACCAAACGATTGTCTTTCAATTAAGACCAATTTGAACAAAATTGGTTGGTAAATAATATATTTGTTCGGCTAACTTTACAGCTTCCAGTTAGCCATCCCCACTATCTAACCGCACACGGTTTTTTTTACTTTTTGGATAAATTATGGACCACCAAATGTTGTAAATCGTACTATGTTAAATATGTACCATATATATGGCAGCATCGAGTATCGAACATCGAGCGTCTGCGTCTGCACAGAAATCATTGCGCAAGAATCTGAATGAGATAGATTCCAGCTTCTTGCGGCTAATAGCATGATGAGTGTAATCAAGGATTAGGAGATATAATTTTCATAATTTTCTTTTCTGCATATTTATAACATATTGCTCCTTTAAATCATTCCCTACTTTTAACATTAGTTTTTTAAACTGTATCATTTTGTCATTTGTGAATCCCTTTTTGTATCTTATTTATTTGAATATTTCAACCATCCAAAATCTCTTGCTGCATTTGTAAAATTCTGGGCAACAAATATTCTGCGCAGACACTTAACGCTCTACGCTTGACGCTGCAATGTAAAGGCACCTTTATGTATCCGGTTCCGGATTATTATCTGACAGGAAATTATTTATTATAAAATAAACTATTATTTCCCAAACGTTGAAAACATTACAGACGTGTTTTCCAAATGATTTCACGTTAATTAAAATAAAAAAAATTTTTTTTAATTGTGTTTGCTAACTATACGCTCAATTAATTTTTATTTATTATAAATAAATTATTATTTCCTAAATTATGAGAATATATTCCTAAATTTGCCCAAACGATTCCCAAACGATTGCAATAATAAAAAATATAAAATATCAAACTTATCTGCTAAGTATACGGAGGTATTGAGATGAGTTAACTATAGAGATACAATTATTGCCTTGCACTCCCTTCAGTTAAGGCCATTGCACGTTCAAAAATTTTAGTCGTAACCGTAAAGCCCGTATCAGACTACGCATTGAAAATTGAAGATTGAAGATTAAAGATTGGAATTTGACTAATCAGAATAAAAGGAACTAAAATTTCTTTGTCCTGATTGGTCAAATTTCAATCTTCAATCTTCAATCTCAATCTTCAATGCGTAGTCTGATACGGACTTTAGTGTGGTCTTGTGTCGTTTTAAGATCTCATTCAACCAATGAAATGGCCACATAGCATCTTAAAGCCCGCGTAAGCAAATCAACCAATCACAGTTCAAACATTCTTATTACATTTTAGAATGCTTGATTGTGATTGGTCGATTTGCTTACGGCCTTAAGCCCCTATCAGACGCATTGCAGATTGAGATTAAAGATTGAAGATTGAAATTTGACCAATCAGGACAAAGAAGTTGTAGTCTCATTTGTTCTGATTAGTCAAATTTAAATTTTTAATCTTCAATCTTCAATTTTCAATGCGTAGTTTGATACGGGCTTTACGATTACGTCTAAAACTTTTGAACGTGCAATAGCCTTTAGGATCATCGACATATAGGCCGGTATTCATAGTCAGTTCTTATATTTAAGACCGTCTTAGTGCCGGTCTACAATAGGTGACTTAAGATTAAACTTTTTTAAGAGACTCAAGCTCTAAGTTTTAGTGCCGGTCTACAACAGATGATTTAAGCCCTAAGCCTTAAGAAATTGATCAATCACAGTCAAATATGAGGAGAATACTCGACTGTGATTAGTCAATTTCTTAAGTGCCGGTCTACAATAGGTGATTTAAGCCCTAAGCCTTAAGAAATCGACCAATCACAATCAAGTATGAGGTGAATACTCGACTATGATTAGTCAATTTCTTAAGTGCCGGTCTACAATAGTGATTTAAGCTCTAAGCCTTAAGAAATTGACTAATTACAGTCGAGTATTCTCCTCATACTTGATCGTGATTGGTCAATTTCTTAAGGCTTAGAGCTTAAATCACTATTGTAGACCGACACTAAGGCTTAGGGCTTAAATCATCTATTGTGGACCGGCACTAAGGCTTAGGGCTTAAATCACCTATTGTAGACCGGCACTAAGGCCGGTATTCATAGTCAGTTTTTATATTTAAGACCGTCTTAAGGCAACATTACATGGGCAGTGAAAAGCAGCAGCAGTTTAGTAACTAACTAGCATTGTTTGGTGATTTTACAGAATTGTTGCGTTGCCCATGAAATAGGTTTTCTGCAGTGTTTTAAATCGTTAATCTCAATTTCAATATTAATTGGGATATAACCGAATGAGTAATTATTTTTATAATTATAGTTCCTACAAACTTACCTCTGGTGATTCCATACTTTAGAATATATGTACATATATAACCAAAACACAGCTTTTACTGCTTTGCTGTTCAACAGGATGAACTTCAAACAGCAAAAACTTGCGCCGGAAGTACGTCACCAATTCTAGTTACTTTCAAAACTGCTGCTGCTTTTCACTGCTCATGAAATGTTATCTTAAGACGTCCTAAACCAATCACAGAGCCGTATTAGCATTTTAAGACATTAAGCCTGCGGCACACGGTACGATTTTTCGTACTGATTTTGTTAATTGATTCGTTGCGTGCTGTTTAGCGAAGTATTCTACGTGTTCCAATCAAAAGAGTGTTACTAGTTTTGGTTTCACACGTGCAGATTATCTTACGTGTTGGGTTAATATTTTAGTTATAAGATTTCTAGAGATTTCAACAAAATTCTTCAAGACTCTAAAAATCCTCTAGATAATAGCCAATGATTGCTTATGTCGATGGTTAAGATAGAGTTTAATGGGTATATAGGAAAAGATTGTGAAATCGTAATATATGTGATTTAATTATCAATTAACTTATTAATTCGAGTTAATTCGAGTACGAAGGATGTTCATAAATTCACACGTCTCATTTACAACCTAAAAAAAATCGGATTATGCAAGTAAGGTTAGTGTTTTTAATTATTTTACGTATTATTTTAATATTTTTAATTAATTATATATTTAATTGTGTGATTAAACCCAAACAGCACAAAAAGGCCAAAAGACATCTTAAAGATGTCTTAAAGATGATAAGACGTTCTTAAGTTGTTTTTTTTAAAGATACTTTTAGGGACATATGTGCTGTCTGGAAAATTATAAATATTTTTATATTGTCGTAATTATATTAATCGCTATTTATTGCAAAATGGAAATTTTGCAAAATATAAAATACAAACTATTTTTTTCTGAGTTGTATTTAATAAAAATTATATAATACCGTGCAACACAATTGTATAGATAGATTAGTTTTACGTCATTAGGGTAATATTACATTTGTCGTACGACAAACTTTTTAAACATATTGATTAACTAATTTCTAGAGACTCAAGAAATTTTTTATTTTGCAGCCAATCAATATGCTTAACAAATTTGTCGTACGACAAATATAATATTACCCTTATTCAAATAGTAATATAAAGAATATATACAGGGTGTTTCAGAAATACTTGAACAAACCTTAGGGATGAGTTCTCCACACAAAAACAAAAAAAAATGTCATATAAACATACGTCCTGGTTAAATACCTGGTTTATAAGTTATAATTGGAAGATTACATTTAATTCAGTACCATGGCCTGATCTAAATCCATTAGATTTTTATCTGTGGGGACACTTAAAACCCCTAGTTTATGCAACTGAAATTGCAAATGAAGAGACGCTTCACCAATGCATCTTAGATGCCTGCAAAACCATTCATAACTATCATGGGATCTTTGAAAGGGTGCGACAGTTCATGATCCGATGTGTCCATGCGTGTATTGAAGCAAGTGGAGGATTTTTTGAGCATTTGTTATGAATTGTGAGTAGATAAATAATTGAACTGAAGATGTATTACATTATCATGTATTATTGTAGATATATTCTGTCAGTTTTTGTCATTGAAATCTTTTGATTATAAACCAGGCATTTCCGGACATATGTTTATGACATTTTTTTGCTTCCTCATGGAGAAAGCTTTGTTTTCGTGACAAAATTTTTTTCGAATTTTCTACGCCAATGTGTTTAGAATGTTCCAAAACGTCGAAAAATCATATTCTTAAAAAATGTCTATGCTATGTCTGTTTGTCTGTCTGTATGTATGATGTATGTGTGTGTGTATGTACGTGTGTATATGTACGTATGTCTATATGCATGTATATATATGTACGGCATGTATTGTACAACCTCTAATTTCCGCAATTTTTGAGATATCGGGCTAAATTTTTTTAAGTAAATAGAGTATCATTAAAGGATGGTTGACATTGAATTTGGTGAGAATCGGTGAAAGAGTTCAATTTTTATAAAATTTTGAATTTTTTGAAAAATGTTTGTACACACTTTAACTTTTGCACATTTTTAGATATCGGGTTAAAATTTTTTACATAAATAGAATATCATTAAAGGATGGTTAGTATTGAATTTGATGAGGATCGATGAAAGGGTTCATTTTTTATAAAATTTTGAATTTTTTGAAAAATATTTGTACACATTCTAACTTTTGCACATTTTTATATATCGGGTTAAATTTTTTTTACGTGAGTAGAGTATTATTAAAGGATGGTTGGTATTGAATTTGGTGAAGATCGGTGAAAAGGTTCATTTTTTATAAAATTTTGAATTTTTTGAGCAATGTCTATACACGTTGTAACTTTCGCAATTTCTTTCTCTATGAGGAAGCCGAAATTGAAAAACCCGCTTGCTTTAAGGAGCTTAAGCTTTGTGAGCGAAATAAAATGATGAGGAAGCAATGTGCATGTTTCTAATTTGCACAATTTTCATCTTGTTCTTGTTTTTGTATGGAGAAATTCTCAAAGTTTGTTGGAGTATTTCTGAAACATCCTGTATAATGTAAAATTTCAAATACTTTATCACCATCATGTGGAAAATTGGTGAGTATTTCAATTTCATTATTTACTTGTATTATTAATTTTGGGTTATTGTTTTTCGCGAGTTTCGCATAACGACTTGATTTTATGGATTATAATAGCACGAGTAGAGATAGTTCTCATTTTCACTCAAACGGCCAACAATTAATAGTATTATGTAAAGCTGCAGGATCCTCTCAAAAAGAGAAAAAACTAAACTCAAAAAAAGACGAAGAACACGCGCGTGACACGTTTGAACACTCGTATTCTTTTTTTACATGACAAGAAATCATAAATATGCTGTAGTGAAGACAGGGTTGACAAAATTCGACATTTATGGATAAAATCCATACCAGTAGTCAAAACCGGTATTTTCCGAAAGAAATGGGTAAAAACTAGTCTTTTCTATTAAAAATGTTAAAATAAGTAGAACACTCTTTTACCGATATTCGTCAATTGAAAGAATGTTTTCTAATTTAAGCTTTATCCAAAATATATAAAATCCGTAATAGGAATCAATTAGTAGCCATTGAATTAGTAGCAAGTAAATTAGTTTTTTGTCAGATATTGAAAGGTAAACGTGAACTAGATCTATATTGGTAAAAATTTTTTCTGTTTCTATTCTGTTACTACTACATTTTTCTCTTATTAAACTAAAGATTAATATAAAATGTAGTAACATTTATATTTTCGAAGTTTTTGTTTTAAAAATTACATATATTTATATATAACTTGAATTAAAAAAGATTTTATTATTATATTGATTTCATTTTTTTAAACTAGTAAGAATTAGTACAAGTTATTAATTAAACCAAAAATATTTTTTTACATAAAGTTATATAAATATATTTTACATATGAGAATTATTTTTAAAGTTTTTGCCAGTTTATTCCATTGGATAAAGTCAGGGCAGTAAAAATCAGAATTTACCATATCGTTTTACACTCACTGGACTTCCGGCCAATCCTAGTGAAATATGCGCGCGCATGTTTACATTGTTTCATCGCATGCGTGAATGGGGTCTTCGACAAAGTTGCGGCTCTGGACCGGTCTCCGCGGCAACCACAATTTATCGATTCGTCTAGATATCCAGTTAGCCTTATGGGTGACAAAGGATTCTCAAGAGAATCCTACGTATTAATTCATTCGGAATTATCCGCGATTGTGCCGAGCGATAAAACAATGAAAATAATGTATAAGAAAACAGCAGATAAGAAACCTTTCATCGAGATTACAGTGCTAAACCAAGAACCGATCATGGATACAGAAACTTAATATCATTATTAATGGTGATATCGGATAAGCCTACATACTTTACATAGTGACTTATATATGTCTGGGGTCAGGACTCAAAAGTTTAGACTAAAAATTATTAATATTTACCGAAGACTGGGATGGGAAAAAAAGAAAAAATAGAATAAGAGTCAACATGATGAACGAAACTGAAATTATAATTAATAATGAAGGAGTATCGCAATTTTTAGTGTTAATAATGAAGAAATTTATAAAAATAGTAGATTTGTAGAGTACAAATTTTTAATGTATTCCATATAATTTTAAACAATATTTAAAAAGTTTTGACACGTTGATCTTATATAGTATATGTATGTATAGTGTGTATAGTTTTTAGTAAAATCGTCTTTTTTTTATCATATTAACTATTAATTAAATAATGTTTAATGAATGATATTAGGACAAGTTTAAAATTATAATTAAAGAATGATAATATTTACAAAAATAAAGAAAAATAGAATAGTTTTTATACTATAACAATTTTCAATTTTTTATAAATACGAGAAAAAAGGAATAATCAAGGACTCATAAAAATGAAAATAACAGCAACAATATTATATATATAATGTTGTACTATATCTATATATACATTGAAGCGATCGTATATATGTTCGAAATAGTTAATAATCCGAGAAAAAGAGAACGGGAATGCTAACCACGACCTGTGCAAAGCGCGCGATTGTCCGCTGCTATCCCTCGCAGAACGTGCTGCATATACCACCAGAACACAGGAGATTCCGCCGTGTTCATGGTCTACAGCTACCGCTACATCCTCAGCAAGTAATCGGTTGGGTATTGCTAATTGTCGTGTTTGCTGGTACTTTTACTGTGCTGCTGACGACACCGTTGTTACCTGATCTGCGTTTTACTCTCTCATTGCTATTTGCTGTGTTGTTCCTGCTTCATGTGCTGACCCATCTGACGGTACTACTACTGGATCCGGCCGATCCTGAAGTACGTGCTCGGCCGATCAACGAAGTTGTGCCAGAATTCGACCGTACGAAACACCAGCATGTTATCGAGAACGGCCGATGTCATCTATGTAATATCACGACGCGCGATTTGTGTACTAAACATTGTTCTATCTGTAACAAATGCGTGCCACGTTTCGATCACCACTGCAAGTGGCTAAACAATTGTATCGGAAGTCGTAATTATCCGGCATTC